ACCATCTCACACCTGTCAGAATGGCTATCATCAACAAACCAACAAATGACAAATGCTGGAAAGGATGTGGAGAAAAAGGAACGCTTCTGCACTGTTGGTGGGAATGCAGACTGGTGCACCACTGTGGGGAACAGTATGGAGTTTCCTCAAAAAATTAAAAAGGGAACTCCCATTTGACCCAGTAATCCTAATTCTAGGAATATACCCCAAGAAATCAAAAACGTCTATCAGAAAGGACATATGCATCCCTATGTTCATACAGCACAATTTACAATAGCTAACATTTGGAATCAGCCTAAGTGCCCATCAGCAGATGAAAGGATTGAAAAATCTGTGGTACATCTACATAATGGAATACTATGCTGCTGTAAAAAAGAAAGAACTCTTACCATTTGAAACAGCATGGATGGAGCTGGAGAGCATTATGCTAAGTGAAATAAAGACAATTGGAGAAAGATAAACATCACATCATATCACTCATTTGTGGAATATAGTGAACAACATAAACTGATGAACAAAAATAGACCCAGAGGCAGAGAAGCATCATCAAATATCAAAGGGAAGGCAGGGTAGGAGGAGGGGGTGTGTGTCAGAGATCAACCAAAGGACTTGTATGCATGCATATAAGTATTACCAATGGACACAGTCACTGGGGCGGGGTGAGGGCATTTGCTTGTGGGTGGGAGTGGCCAGAGAAAGGTCAATGGAGGAAAAGAAATATTGTAATAGCTATGTATGGGCTGAAGAAGGTACTTGAAATATTAGGGGGACCACTCTATAAAGTATATGATTGTCTAACCACTGTATTTTGAAACTAATACAGAATTATATTGAATGTGAACTATAATGGAAAAAAAATGATGGAAGATTGTGTTTTTCATAATAATAATAAAAAAAAATGAAATGAGCCCTGGCTAGTGTCCTCACTAGTTAGAGTGTTGGCTCATCCACTGAAGGGTCTCAGGTTTGATTCCTGATCAAGGGCACATACTGGTTTGCAGGCTCAATCCCAGGCCATGTGTGGGAGGCAACCACTTGATATGTCTCTCACATTGATGTTTCTCTCTCTCTCTCCCCCTGCTTCCCTCCCTTCCATTCTCTCTAAGTATCAGTGGAAAAAAGTATCCTAGCATGAGGATTAATAACAAAAAAAAGAGATATAACATAGGGTTATTCTTATTTCATATATTTTACTATTCATTCTGTATTGCATACTGCGGGAAGCCGGTCCTTCCTTGCTGCTTGACACAGCCGCTGCAGGGAAGAAACATCTGCACAGCATATGTTTCAAGGGACCTGGCGTATATGGCATACTGTTCTTGATATGTTTGCTCCCCTTCTTAGCGCTATGTGTTTTAACCAAGGTCACCTCACCGAGAAAGGTTGTTTCCCCAGGTGGGGATTTTTTCCCTGAAGTTAGGGACTAACAGGACAAAGGAAGGGAATAAATCCATAAAACCCCTTAACTAAGTGCCTGGCACGTTTAAGCTACATAATCTATACTTAAGATAATCTTTCAGTTACTTTCTTGTAGCTTAATAGAACAATAGAGTAACCTTGGAATGGAGATAAGAAATGCCCTAACCTTTGGAATAGAATGGGTAGGATTAAAATAAATTGGTATAAATACAGATGTAACAGGACAATAAAGACAGAACCTGGCAGGAGAACCTGGCTAGGCTGCTGATCAACTGAATGCTGCCTCTGTGTCATTCCTTCTTCGCTGACTCTGTCCACACCTTTGGGAACCCCTGGACCTGCTGGGGTTGGACCCCAACAGCATACTTTTTGCATAAAGTGAGGAAGATGTGTTTGTCCTTGTAATTTATTTGTTACTAGAGGCCCAGTGCACGTGCACAGGTCCCTAGTGGCTGCCAGCTGGAGGTGCCTTCCTCCCCTCTGACCCCCTTGCCAGCCACCTGCTGTCACTGCCAGCACAGCCCCCTGGTCAAACTCTTGGTGGAGGGGATAATTTGCATATTAGGCTTTTATTATATAGGATACTAAACTTACATTTTTTTTCTGCTTTATGGAGAATTTACTTATAACTTTTTTCTTTAAATGTTTTGAAACTACAAACACTTTGTTTATTTGTATTCCTAACCATACAGTTTTTAAGAATTTTTGAAAACCTTTCCTGCCAAGTAAACAATACCATTCTTAACAACAAAAGTGTCTAAAGATCAATTTTCAAAAAATTTTGTATCCTTATCTGGTACTTCCAACTTTCCAACAAATGTTACTGAATGCCAACTTAATATGCTCATATTTTTACTCAATTTCTACACACTTCTGCTGACAAAGAACTTAAAAAAGTACCTGTAAAATTCAGAACTGAAAGGAATTTCTATAGTCTGAACTAGATAACTGTATCTCCTTTCTTCATTTTATATTCTAATGTTAAAAACCATTTTAAAATTTAATATTAGATGACTATTCACAAAATATGGAAGGATACACCATCTAATCCTAATTTAAGATATTTCAGGAATAGAAACTGACAAGAAAAACAACACTGAGTTGTCCTAAATTAAATTACAGCAGGCTGGAGTGTGAGAGGAAGAGACAACTAGTGTTAATCTGTTAACAGAGTTAGGTTAAAAAAAAAAAGTTTTGGGCTGAAACTAATAAATACTGAAGGTTTCTGAATGTATGTAGAAACTTCAACCCCTCTTCTGGGCACTCTTTCATCTCTCATGTAGAGGTAACAGCTACCACTGCTTTCTGATTACAAATGAACTGTTCAGACTGTTGCCCACAAGCAGCAAACACTTCTTTTTATGGACTATAGTCACCTATTCAGAAACTTTCTCCCTTTCACTTTTCCAGTCCCTTTATGTAGAGCAAGGGTAAATTCTTCCAAATCAATTTCTTCCTCAAACTCATTGTCTGAGAGAGCCCCCTCAAACCCAGGATGCAGACATGTTTGTCTTCTCCACCTGCTGCTGGTGATTAGACTGTATGACCCAGGACCAGGTCCCTGTTCTGGCCAGCATGTGGCTCAATAAAACCGGTCTGTCAGAAAAACTTTCAGCCCCAGACGTGTTTAAGAAAACTTACAAATTTTGTGAAAATGTAGTGGAAATACAAATAGACTTAGCAAGATAAATTTTATGACTAAATTGTTTATATTTATTTTTTCTATGTGGTTGACATCTTAAAAATCCTTTTTAGCTTAAAAGAGAGGGCCCCTCTCAGGACAGCCAATTGTTAAAGATAGCAAATGACCCAGCAGAGTATGCCATTGCTATGCAAACAAATTAATCCAGAGCCTTATTTCCTCTGCCTTAATCATTCCAACACCAGGTGCTAGGCAATTAGGGCCCACCCCCAGAGGTTACAGCCTATGAAAATTATTCAAACTAGCAAACTATTAAATCCTAAACTATATTCTGCCCTGCCTTGCCATTCCCTCAAAAACACCAATAAAAGCGATGTCAGAGGCTTTCCCCTCACTCTTGTCCCTTCTGCCTCCTAACCTATGGACATGCTTTTTGCTGTGGCCTTTGTAGCAAGCCATGTCTCTTGAGTATAATAAATTTTGTTTCCTACACCTCTCATGCATCACTACCTCTTGTATGACATCTGACTGATGATACCAAAAAAGAACGCAACAAAAAACAACTGTACATTGTACTTTTGTGAAAACCATCACAAAGATTCACAAAAATTAAAACCTTAAAAGGATATTTTACAAAAATGATTGCTTTTAAAATCTGTAAAAGCTAAACTACAAAACCAAAAATACTGAAAGTCATACCCATGAGACAAAATAACTCATTCACTTTTAATTAATACAATCTTGAGGAAGCTAAAGTTTAAAAAAGCACAACAAAACAGTGTCTTAGCCCAGGCCGAGTGGCTCAGTTAGCTAGAACATCCTCCAGTACACCAAAAAAGGTAGCAGGTTCAATTTTTGAGCAGGATGCATACCAGAGGCATGCATTTTATTGATATTTTCTCTCTCACATCGTTGTTTCTCTTTCTCTCTATGTTTGTCTCTCTCTCCCTTCTTCTCTCTCCAAAAATCAATGAAAACATATCTCTGGGTAAGGATTAAAAAGAAACACACATAAAAACAACAACAGTGTCTTATAGAAATGAACTGTCACCTAAACCAAGTTCCAGATACACATTAGCAGTTTATGGGTGGAAAAAAGGAAGCGCTCACATCAGGCTGTAGTCTTTTCCCCCCCGGCAACTGTAGCTGCTAAACTTGGAAGGCTTCACAGACTGTCTAAGGGAAATGCTGTGGGGTCTGTATACCTTGTCTTTTTCCTCACTGTCAACTTGATGAGTATTACACTGCTGGAAAGGGGGTAAAGGGGGTTGGGAGGAGGGAATTAAATTATGTTAACAATCAGCAAATAACAAAGGTATTCCTTCATTCTAAATCTCTGGAAAGAAAGCTGTACTTCTTTCTAATTTACACTAACCCATCCCCCTTTTGTTCTTTGGAACGACAGAAAATTTATCATCATCCACTATATCTTACATCATTCCTCTATGTGTTACATATTTCTTTGCCTAGTGAATAAAATGGACATCTCATCTGAAAAGATGGAAATAAAAATGTCAACTCTAACAGAATTATGAATATGAAATAAAATATGCATTTATACACATGTATTAAAGTATTTTCATAATAAAACTTAAAAACCATTATTTAAAATACCAGCTAAGTCAGTTCCCAATTCTCAAATAAAGCAAGGATTTATCCATAGACTCTCTTTATTTGAACTATTCTCAGTAAGTGTAGTAATTTCATAATTATTTAATTATCTTTTTCGTGGAGGATGGTCTCAAATAAGAACTGCTTTTCTCTAAGTTCTACTGCAAAATCTTGTCCATAAAGAGATTCTAGTAGATAGACACTAATCCTCTAAGACAAAAAGAAAGAATTCTACAGTTTTCATCTAGCTGGCCTAACAAATATAAAACTTCATATTCATACAGGCTGCAAAATATTTTTCAGGGCTTCCTGGAACCTCTATTAATGATCTTAAGACTCTCTAAATATTGACTATGCAGGAGAAAGCCCAACCCAGAAAAGGTAAGACAGCAAAAGGCACAAAATAACATCAACCTGCAAATAAGCTAAGGGCCCTCACCACAAGGCTGGCTCCAGACTGAAACATTTCATAGGGGTAAATGATGCGTTCATAGTGAGATCTTAGCAGGGATCCAATGTTTTTGCCTGGTGGGAATTTGAGGCGCTGGGCAACTTGGGCCCATCCACAGTCCTTGCAAATAGCTGCTTAGCCACCTTCCTCCATCACAATCTAGAATAAGGAAGAGTCTAGTTAACTGTGAGCAGAGGGGAGAGATCTAAAAATAGCAATGAGGCTTAAAATATGCACACTGTGTACTCCCCCAATACCAACCATTCCAAAGACTCAAAGATTCTATCAAGAAATGTTGGCAGGCTGTATGTTCTCTCCTTTTCTGTTCAGAGACACAATGTTCAACTACAGAGGGTTTCCCAAACAACACTTATTGCTTGCTTGTCCTTTCGAAAATAGAACCACTCTTACCTTATTAAGGTTATAGAGGTCCAAGATCTTCTGCTCCACATCGGGAATTTTTAATGAAGAACCCTGGAATTCCAAGAATTTTGCAATTTGATCCAAATAGTTCAGTTTTACTCTGGTCTGAGCCTAGGAAAGAGAAAGGGTTACTCCTTAATCTGAGTTTGGTCCAGCGTAAAGTAAATGAGCAACTATCACTTTGTCCTAGCTACAGTTCTATACTAGGTTAGAGCCTAGACTTCATTGCCTAAATCACCATTACCACCTACAAAAATCAAATAAATTGATTCTGATTCTTTCATTGGAGAGGTGAAGTCAGAAAGTGATGCCGGAGTCAAAATCCTTTATCCTGAAATGTAAAACATGATCATTGGGCTCAATGAGAGCTGAACAAGAGTATTTAGGTTTAACCTATATCTTAAGATGCTTCACCCATCTAGAGTCCACAGATACAGAACTGAAGGGAAAAAAAATTTTTCCATATGTTAAAAACTTGGGCATGAAACTACTTTGTGAATTACCTTTCTGTTACCATAAGTCATTTGGGAACTTCCAACCCCTAACCATAGCCAAAATTTGTAATAGTAAAGAAAATGACAAATTATTCATACACTTTTCATATTTAATACTAAGCTAAATATAGTGTCAACTGCTTTAAAAAACAAGCTTTGCCCTGGCACCAGAAGATCTCAGATTTGATTCTGGGTCAGGACACATGCCCAGTTTTTGGGTTTGATCCATGGTGAGGGTAGTGCAGGAAGCAGTGGACTGACTTTCTGTTCTCACATCAATCTTTCTCAGTCTCCTTTCCTCTCTCTCTAAAGTCAATAAAAGGAAAAAGAGGACAAAAAAAACAAGCTTTGCCTTTCCTATTTACTGACACATTCCTAAATATAGTCCAGTTTTTCCAAGAAGAACAAACATAACCACCAGCCTTAACTGGAAATTTAGGAGACCAAATTTGTGACCTGAACTTTTCTTTTGTTAAAGAAATCAGGGAAAATCCAAAGTAATAAAATATGGGTATAGAGAGAAAAAAAATAAGAATATTCTTCTTGACAGTTCTAATTTTAGCCCATCCTATAAAAACTTAAAACTTTAATCTCTTGGCATTTTGCAAAAGACTTTCTACAAGACTAATAAATATTCTAGGAAATAATGGAGCTAAAGTTACAATAAAAATATATTTGACTTTACTTGTTCTCAACTACACTGTTATAAAACTGTAAGTAAAGTAATATTAGAGCTCATATTCCACTACAGAAAGGTGACTTTCCAGTTTACCTCTAGTTCATTTAGCCTCTGGATTCTAGGAGTAAATCTGAAGTTGTCAACTTCTACTGCAAAGGGAGGCTGCCAGTCCTAGAAGTAAACAAAGAAACAAACAAAAACCCCCACACTGGTTATTAGTAAAGGATGAAGATGATTAGAATTAGAATCATCTGTTTATCTTTTAAAACTTCAGTTGTTCTTTTTGCTCCAAAGTATAAAATTTTTTCCCTTTTAAATTACATAAATTGGAATGGGAGTGAAACTAATAATCCAAAACTCTCTTTGGTATGTGTCCTACAAAAAAGGAAACAAAAAACAAAAGCCAAGAAACTTAGACCTAAATCTGTTTAAAATGAATGAAGCACTTTATTTATTTATTTATTTTTTAATTTGGAAATATTGGGGGACCAGGCAGGCAAGTCCAACTCAAGGAGGAGGACTTCCACTGATGCTAAGGCCTCACCAAGCTTTTATTGATCTGGGATAGCCCTTAGGTAGGGAGGTTCCAATGACACACAGACTAGCTCATCAGCAGACAATTTCCAGTAATAGGCAGACTATCTAATCAACAGGGATTTACATGAGTATCTAATCAATAAGGAATTAAATGAATTAAGGTGGGGAGGATGCTTCAGCTACCATTATCTAGATTAACTGGGTGGTACACAGCTCTGACCTTTGCTAGGGCTTCAAAGGTCACCAGCTTTTGGGGTCTCTACGCTTCTCTGCTAGTGAAGATAAGAGGTGGTCTCCGACATTAGAGGACTGACCCTAGAACACAATGGGCTCTGGGCCTGGTTTGGGGGTGCTTGTGAGGGGCACCCTTACCCAGCACTTGGGTGTGGAAAAAGCCAGAACCGCAAAGCCTGTTGGCCTGCTCCGGGGCCACCAGGGATTGGCCTGGAAGCTGAGCGGATCTGCAGGGAGGTCTCACTTCCCCAAACATGCCTCTTCCGGTGTCGCAAGGAGCCTTGGGTCACCCCCTCCCTGTGTGCAACCAGAGCAAAGCACAGTTTCTGCCTCTGCTCCCCCTTTCCTGTCCCACTCGGTTGTTTTTTCCTGACCGATTCCCAGGATGCAGCCCTGAGGCCCCTGTGTCAGCGGCTTCCCCGGCTTCCCGCCTGGGCCCCGACCCCAGGACCCTGCCTTCCCGCGGCGGCACAGGCTGTCCTGGCTGGGCAGCCCCGCTCTGCTGAACTGCTCGCAGGAAGCAATAAAAGGCCCGGTCCACGTGCTGCTGGAACCGTAGTTTCCAAATCCAAGAGCAGGGCTCATCACCAGCCGGGACATGTGCCGGTCTGAGGACTTTCAGACAAAAGGTGTGAGGCCGGACCACGCCAGGGTGGGTGCTTGTGGCAGCCAGGCGCGAACCTCCTGGGAAATTCTCTCCTCTGGGGATGTCTGCCAAGGTGCCACCTGCATCTGCCAGACTCACTGCTGTGGTCGCGGCTCCGACACCAGCCACGGGTCACCGGGCACCCCTGCTCAGGTCTGCAGGGGGCAGGGTGCAAACAGGAAACCTGCTCGGTTCTACTCGCTGTGATACCTCCACGGAGACCCTGCGAAGGCTTTGCAGGTGCTCTGACTCCGTCTCCCATGGGTTCTTAAAAACGTGAGCCTTTAAAAAATATCGCTACAACCACTTAAGTATCTGCAGTAAATGCAGCAATGACCTGTTTCACAGGGCAGGGCCGCGCTGTGCTCCGCCAGAGATAAATGATGCAACGTGCCCCTCGCGCTCACACCTGAGTCCCTCTTGTGGGCATGAAATTATGAAGTGCTGGCGGAGGTCTGGGGTGGTGCTCGCTCACTCGGGCAGCCCCCACTCCTCCGAGATCAATAGGAAGTAATAACACCTGCCTCCAGGCTGGGGGAGGGGTAAATCGAATGAAGCACTTTAATAAGATCTGGCCTATTTCTGTTATGATGAAGATAAACTAAATGCAGCTAAAACATTGTTAGATTTCAAAAAGTTGGTTATTACCTCTTCTGAGCATTAGCAATCTGTGAAACCTGATTAAAAATATGTTAGTAATACTGAGAAAAGCATATCCATCCAATTAGATGGAAACCAGTGTTATAGTTAGGCAGAGCAACTCACAAATGAGCCATATGCTATGAAGAAGTTGACACTATAGATATCATATTAGTAGTTTAAACTGGCGGTCTAGGATCATTGCAGTATGCATGGTCAAATACCTGTTTCAATGAGAAGTTCTGAGTATATGAAACCAAGAAGAATGTTTAAGCAAAATAATACCAGTTTAATTGTGATGGCGACTCTATATTGCTTTTTAATCTAATCTATGTCTGGTTAAAGACATCTGAAGTCATAAGGGAAAATGCAATCATCCCAAGGCTCTGGTTAGTAAGAAAAATTCTCAATTTTTTGTAGCTTAGGTTACCTATGAAGTAATTCTTAATATGTTGACTCTGAATTCTTTCAGGGAAAATGGGCGTTGGATTTTCTCTTCTTAACTGCTTCGTGCTGAGGAGGGACTGAGTTTTCTCTCAGAGCCAAGAGATCCTTGCTGTCTGTCAGAGCAACGATAAGGCCTGGGCACAGAAGGAGGTGTTTTTGTGACCTGATGGAAACATTTCAGTTTTAATAACCTCTATTGAAATAGAGTTTTTCTCCTCAAAATTACCTATATGTTTATCAGAAAACCAAATTAAGAGCAATTTATCTATTGTATTCAATTTGGCCTGATGTTTGCATAAGCACAACAAGAATGATAACTGATTGCCTTTGCCGGAATTTCATGATTGAATCTTAATGTGCCCCGTAGGGCCAGTAAGCCAAGCCATCCAGCTGCCATCAGGCCTGTCTGCAGTATCTGCTTAGTTAGGTGAGTCCCTCACCTGTAGCGAATCCACCTGGGCCCACGCCCTATGCTTTAAGGCCCATCTCAGTAGCCCTTCTACTCATCGCGGCCCAGAGTGCATGGGGGTTCTGCAGGGACGCAGAGGCATCCTTATTGCTCCCCTTCTACTCTGACCAACTGCCAGTGATGGTAGGGCAGGCAAGTAGGTCACCTAAATACTCAAATGCAAAGGGGTCAAGTCTTTTGGACAAATAGTCTACCAACCTTTTCTAGGGGCTGAGACTTTAGGTGAGTACCTCTTTGGCTATGCCCTCTGTCTCACATACCTAGAGGTGGAAATAGTTACATCTGGTAGCCCTAGTTGGCCCATCATCCTTGCTCTGCTCATGTCTGTCTAACTGCCTAATATATTACCTCAAGGATCCTGGCTCTGAATTCTTTCAGGGAAAATGGGCGTTGGATTTTCTCTTCTTAACTGCTTCGTGCTGAGGAGGGACTGAGTTTTCTCTCAGAGCCAAGAGATCCTTGCTGTCTGTCAGAGCAACGATAAGGCCTGGGCACAGAAGGAGGTGTTTTTGTGACCTGATGGAAACATTTCAGTTTTAATAACCTCTATTGAAATAGAGTTTTTCTCCTCAAAATTACCTATATGTTTATCAGAAAACCAAATTAAGAGCAATTTATCTATTGTATTCAATTTGGCCTGATGTTTGCATAAGCACAACAAGAATGATAACTGATTGCCTTTGCCGGAATTTCATGATTGAATCTTAATGTGCCCCGTAGGGCCAGTAAGCCAAGCCATCCAGCTGCCATCAGGCCTGTCTGCAGTATCTGCTTAGTTAGGTGAGTCCCTCACCTGTAGCGAATCCACCTGGGCCCACGCCCTATGCTTTAAGGCCCATCTCAGTAGCCCTTCTACTCATCGCGGCCCAGAGTGCATGGGGGTTCTGCAGGGACGCAGAGGCATCCTTATTGCTCCCCTTCTACTCTGACCAACTGCCAGTGATGGTAGGGCATGGGCCTGATGCTCCAGCAGGATACCAGGCTTTTCCTGTGGCACTCTTATTGGCTTCAAGTCTTCAGAGTCTAGACAGGTCTCTTTAAAACATGATACTCCAGTCAAAGTTTTCGGTTAATAAAACCACTATTAGGAACCAGTCTTATTGAGTCTATGCAAAGAAATGTATTGCCATGATTTATTAAGCATTGCCAAATTAAGGAGGAATTATATAAGGAGAAAAATATACTGACCTGCTTTATGATTTTTTGATTTTCCTTGCCAGTCCCTTTTCATGGACTCTTCAGA